CTGGCCGCGGCAACGGTCGTGGGGTGCCCGTCCAGGGTTCTGCTGACACCTTCGCGGGGGAAGTACGTGCGCCAGCCGAGCCCGCAGTGGGACCCGCTCCACGAGGACATCAACGCACACGTGAAGAAGCGGATCCCCGGGGAGACGCGCGTGGACCGGGTTCGGCGCTTTGCGCGGGAGTGGCGTAACGTGGAGTTGGAGCTAGGCGTTTACAAGGACTCCCGTGGGCGGGAGATCAAGTACCGAAAAACCTTCGTCTACCGCTACACGTACCCCAACGCGTTTGATGAATTCTGGTGGCCGTGCAAATGAGGAAGTAGGGCGTGGTAGGAGCTGGAAGCAGTAACGAGGGCAAGGATGCGGGGTGGGAATACAGTAGGAAAAGGGTGGGGGGACACAAATTGTATGTATTGTATGTATATGTATGGGTTGGGGTTGGGGTACTCAGTAGGAATGAGGAGTTATTTTATCTTGCTGGTTCGTGGGAGTGTGTGTGTGTGTGTGTTTGTGTGTGTGTGTTTGTGTTTGTGTGTGTAATGTTCGATGCCGCGGGGCTCTCGTGTGCGTCCGTGGAGGGAAGTTTTCGTGACACTTGTGCTACGGAGTAGAGTGACCTCGCCACGGCCCATCGCCATTTGGGCTTACAGCCTCAATCTGGGCTGTGGACGCGGTCCTGCAAACTGCTTGGCCTGAAACAACGAGAGAGAGGAGAGGGGAGGGGAGGGGAGAGGCTTAGACGTCTGCCTCTCTGCATACCGCGTACGGGGCATGAGTATATGTTGTTGCGAGACAACAGCAACGAAGAAGAAAGAAGAAAAAAAACAAGACGCGACAGGAGGTTTCAGCTCTGCCACACGCTTCTCCCCTTTCTAAGGCGAAAGGAGGCGAAGAGCGAATAGGATAGAGTAGCACATCTGGCGCGTGATGGATGCTCGCAATGTGGCACTGGCGACCTCCCCCATCCAGGTGGACAGCAACGGCGCCGAGGATGGCCACGGCGCCTTCTCGGATCAGCTTCGCCTCATTACCCGCCGCATGAGCCGTGCGCTGCTGCGACACCCACAATTGAGTTCCTTTTGCGGCAATCCGCGAGCCATGTACGAGGCCCTACACGAATTCTTTGCGCAGTGGTCCGCTCGTCAGCAGCGTGCGTCGTCGCTTAGCCTCACGGTGGAGCAGGCAACGAAACTGCTGCAGTACGGCGAGTCCACGATTCGCAGAGTGGCCCTCGTGGGTTCCGCGCTCGCGCGGGCGCGAACCGCAGCGGAGCTCATTGCCGCTGCCCCCCTCATCTCCATGGAGGCTCTGAAGCGGGAACTCGATGGCTTGGGGGTGCAGGTGGGGCTGTTGCCGCTTGCGGAGATTGTGGAACTCGCCCGCGTGATTGACGATGCACAAGGGCTTGCAACGCCGTTTGGTGCACTCAACCTAGTGCATCTCGTGTCACTTAGCGCGGCCCTCTGCCCGGCGCCGGAGTTGGGGACCCTCCTCCTGATGGTGTCCACCAGCCTCCACCACCGCCTGCTGTGTGCCGCTGTTTTCTACGAGTGGTCCCTGGTCGATGCCCCAAACGCCCCTGCCTTGCGGGAGTTGTCGCAGCGGGTGGAGCAGGTGCCCTCTGACGACGCAGTCGGGGACGTCGTTAGGGCCCTGCTCAAGGGAAGCTTCGAGGAGCTTGGAGCTCGGCCCGCGGATCCCGCGGTAGCAGATGCTCCCACCGAGGTCACTGCTCCGCCGTCGGAGGCCGTCGCTTCATCCCCTCCAAGTGCCACACCCCAACGTGGTGGGGCGACACCACCGCTTCCTGCCACACCGCACGATGACGGCGACAGCGCCGCTGTGTCGGTCGCGGAGGAGGAGGCGTCAGCGGAGGGAGACGATGGCGCGGTGGCCGACACTGTGGATGTGGAGTTCTGGCGTCGGCTTTGCAGCTGAAACGGGAGAACCAGGAGCAGCAAAAGCGCGAGAGAGCGGTTGGGCGCCCCCGTGAATGGCGTCTTCAGCTGCTGTCGTCCTCTATGATATTTTGCAAGCCCTATTTCATCTCTATGTCTTCTCTTCTTTCATCTTTACTTTTGTTTGTTTGTTTTTCCTTTGCCGTCTCCGGAGGAACGGGGAGGGAGGGGGGGGAGCCCCTTGCTTGTGAAGAATGAGTGAGGGCGCCTTGTGGCTCCGCCGGCGGTGCCTGTTTCTGTCCGATGAGGCGGCGCTAGGAACGGCGCTCCAGCGCCCAGAAGTGGCGAAAAAGGCAGCCGACGTCTTGCTCCGCGTGCGGGAGTCATGGGGCGGGGCGGTGGACGGCGCTGCTGACTTGGCCGCCTGCATCCACCGTTGGGTGGAGCGCCGCCAGTTTGCGGATTGGCAGGAGTGTGTTGAGTGGCTGCTCTTCAGTGTGGAGTGGCAGCAGGAACGGGGCAGTGCGGCGAACGCAGAAGGCGCGCTATGCAGGCGGGCGTTACTGGAGTTGACCGCCCTGTTTGCGGAGGAGGCGCGCGCGTACGATGCCGCGGCAGCCTCATTTGCCGAGAATTACTGGAGGAAGGCGCGGAAACGGCCGCGCGTTTTGACCAGCGGTGAGCCCAATGAGAAGACTCCTTTGGTTGAGGCCCGTGTGAGTTGGAGCATCGCGGCGGAGTTGCCACCGCTGGTGGAGCAGGCGTTTTTGCTTCCTTGAACACCGCATTGCCGCCTGAAGGGAGTATATGCGTGTTTGGCGCGTGTCCTTGCTGTTGTTTGCTTCGCCTGTTTGTTGCCGTATTTTATTTTCTTTTTTTGATTTGTTGTTTGCCGTTGGTCATGTTTGGATGCGCGTTTCTCTGTTTTTCCTTTTTTTTTGTTCTTCTCCCCCCCCCCCCCTCACTTTCCAAAGGGTTTCTTCAGCATGCACGGGGGCGGCGTTGGCGACGTCACTGTGGCGGAGCTGCTGCAGTCGTGGGTGCCGCCAGAGACGCGGCTGGCGGACGCCCTTGAGCGGGTTGGGACGCTGATAGGGACGCAGGAGCTGCAGCGGGCGCTGAGGAGCGTCCCCCCGCACGCCGCCGCACTTACAGCGGGGGACGGCGTCGCCGCGGCGTCGCTGGCAGGGGAGAAGTTCTTGAAGGCGCTTGCGTCGGAGTACGCATTCCTGTCATTTCCGAAGGGCGACACCGCGAAGCTCACCAACGTGGCGCGCGTGCTCCTCTCCTCCGACACGTTTGACCCGGAGCTGGAAAAGTTCCTCGGCGCCACCCTGGCGGCGCGCAAGGTGTTCATGCCCTTCTTGGCGCTGCTGCTGTGGGCGCGGGGCATTCCTGCGGCCTCCTCCCTCCTACTCCCCGTGCTGCGTAGCGTGATGTGCACCGGCGACTACGCGGTGTCGCTGCCGGCTATTCTCTGCTGGCTTCGTCCCGGCGAGTCGTTTGGGCGCCTGACGCACGAGCAGCAGATTGAGTTGCTCGTGGAGGAGCTGGGAAAACGCGGGGTCTGCGTGTCGCGGGAGGCGGAAGCGTCAGAGTCTAGCGAGAGTGCCGCGGTGCGTTACACCGTGCGGGTGAAGTGGGAAGAGGAGGCAGAGTCCTGCAAGAAGGGGGTGACGCTCCCTGGGTTCTACGCCATCGTCACGGGCGAGGGAAAGAAGTTCGTCGCGCGCGAGAAGTTGAGCAAAAAGACACAGCGCGCGCACTTTACGCTTTCCCCGGTGAATATGAAAATGTGGATGCACGAGGTTCGTCACCTGCTGCGCTTCCGGCCCCCGTACGCCGACGTCTTACCGGGGGACTTCCTGGCAAAGGTGACGTTCTGCGAGGGGTGGATTCCGCTGAGCGAGATGTGCCGCGTCCTGGCGACGCGGTCGGCGGAGACGCGCGCGTTGGTGCCCTCGGAAGGGGCGCTGCAGCAGCTGCTCGAGAACCACGACCACTTTCAGCGGTACGAGGTGGGCGTGTGCGAGGTTGCAGGGGGCGCGTTTACGGGTCAGTTGTGCGCCCGTGCTCTGTACGCCCACGTGGGCGCTTCATCGCTCTGCACGCGCATCTTTGAGAGGTTTGCGACCGTCAAGGACCCGAGCGCGTGCCCCACCTACGCGTGGGCGTCATTGCAGGACAAGAAGCAGCTGGATCGCGGGCTTCGCAAAGGGCCGTACATACTGCACGAAAATCTCCGCTTTGTGCAGGTGTTTCCCGCGGAATCGCTGGCCGAATTCAGCTGCTATCAACGGGAAACCCCACTGGAGGCGCAGTACGACGAGAAGCTGGGGGTGGACAAGCCTCTCTGCTTTTTGGAGTTTTGCCTTCGGGCCGCGGTGCGGGATGAAAAGATGGAAGTGCTTCAGTCCCCACAACGGGGGGAAGCCGCGGTGCACTGGTACGTCTTTTCGGACCGCAAGGAGGACCCCGATGAGGAAAATTTGCAGGTCCCACGGTATTACTTTACTGGCCGCGTGGCAACGCTGCGACGCGGCGTCCCCGGCGACGCCGCGCACGGCGACGAGACGACCACGACGGCGCAGGAAGCGAGTCCCCCGGGTATGGCGTTTGGCTGGCGCGGGTTCCTGAAAAACGTTGAGCCCGTTGGTTTCTCGGAGGAGGAAGTGCGCAGCATCTTTGGCTCCGACAGGACCGATGCGCACAGGGACGACGGCGGCGACGCGGCGGCGGCAACGCAGGAGGAAGAGTTTGTGATCTCCAGCGGCGTCTCCGTCACGGCTCCGTTGGATACCGAGGCAGCGAGGTCGACGGTGCTTAGCTTCGTGCAGAACTCGGATCTGCTCGTCACGCGTGTCACATTTCCAAGGCGGCCGCCTGGCGGAGGCCTGTTTTTCAACCGTCAAAAGACCCTTACTGAGTTTAAGGCTTGGCTGGTGGAGCTGGGGCTCGTGTACAGGAGCCCCGCGGCGGCGGAGGGCGCCCTGGAGGAGGTGTACGAGATCCGCAAGCGTGGACGCTGGAGCCAGGACTTCATCGACGGCATTGCGAAGGAGTTGGAGCTGGAGGACATCCCGGACCGCGAGCTGCTGCTGCGGGCGGTGACCCGCGAGTGTGAAAGCAAGGAGATGAACTACGAAACCCTGGAGTTCCTCGGCGACGCCGTGGTGGACTTCGTGGTGGCCTTCGACAGCTTTCTGCTTGGGGAACCGTGGAAACTGCACGTCGTCAGGGAGGTGTGCTGCAATGAGGTGTTTGCCCACCTCATCCCCGCCTCGCTGAGTGCGACGCTCGCCCAGATTTACCCGAGCCTGTCGACGAAGGTGCGGGCGGATATGATGGAGGCCATTATGGGCGCCGTGTACCGCAGCCAGATGGGCCTCGACCGGGTGCGGCAACAGCTGCGGCACTTCTTTAGCCGCATCCCCGCCGCCCTCGCCATGGGCGTCGAGGAGCAGGACACCCGGACGCTGCTGGAGCAGGCGGCGGCGGCCTGCCCATACCTTCGCGACGACGCAGAGCTGCTTGAGGAGCGGTACAAGTACGCGTGCCTCGCGCTGATTGACGAAGGTAGCGCCGCGGAATTTGTGTCCTCGGTTGCCCACTCCCCCGCCTCTTGCTGCATGAGCCACTACGCCTCGACACCGTTCAAGCGCATTCAGGACAAGGAATACGCGACGCACTTCACGACAGGCAGCATTTTTTCCTACCGGCGCATTCCTTCCATTGACGTCCCCGCGCTATTCAACCGAATTCTGGACGCCTTTTCCAGCGGCGCGACCGCTTTTGTTAACGAGATCATCACAGGCGAAACACACCTCACCTTCGACGTGGATGGACTACGAGTCACTTCCTGCGGCGTCGCAAGAATGATTTGGGAATGGTTTTGCGGCAAATTCGCGTCCCGGTCGGCGATGCTGCTCCTGGACTGCTCGGGTATGTCGGTTGTGACGAAGAAGATGAAGCGGTCGTGCCACATCCACTTCCCGCAGGCGGTCACAAGCCTGGAACGGGTGCTGTCGCTTACGGATGACCTCCGACGGCACATTGTGGGGAGGCTGGCGTTTGAGACTCACCTTGGCGATGTCCTCGGCTTCCGCGGGCGGGAGGGCAGCGCAGAACCCGCGGCTGTCATTGGGCAAATTGTTTTCGCGACGGCGTACGCCATGATGTGTCTTCCCCGCGAAAGAGACATAATCTGTTCAGATCCCTTTTTGGAGTACCTTGACCTACGCAGCATGTTGTGCCTCGGCGGGACGTGTGCTGCGGTGCGGCATCGTGTCTTTGCGTACCTCACTGCCTTGGCGAAGCCGCCGGCCGGTGCGGCGGGCCTCCGCAAATTGGTCCCCAACTGTTATTTTTTTGCCCAATCTGACGGCAGCAGCGACCAGTACGTTCTCATGAAGGTGTGTTGGGCCTCAAAGGACGCCGCCGGTGTGGTGGGCAATTTTATGTGGTGTCCCGTGAGCAGGCTGGTGGAACTCAGCGAGGAGCAGCTGGGCGTGGTGGAGTCCGTCGAGCGCGTCGTGGATGGAAAGGCGATGAAGCCAAAGGAGTTCTTTCTCGGGCAGGTCACGCCGTTGCGGGAGAAGAGTTTCTTTGCACCGGCGTTTTGGTTCCGCGTCATTGACCAGGCACTGGTGGAGAGTCGAAAGCTGCGAATGTACCTGAACGACAAGTACGACATGGTGTACGGCAAGGAGTACCGCCCACTCTTCCTGGACAGCGTCTTTCACGTCCAGGGCACAATGCGGGCGGTGCGGCCTGACAAGGGCGTCCCTTGCGGCGTCGTGCGGGCCCCCACTGATGCCTTGAGTGAGGAAAAGATGGACGAGTACCCTGTCGAAATGGCACACGCATCCGTGCTGCGCCTCACCTCCCTTCGCTGCCCCGAATACCGCGATGTGCAGGGGTTGAGACGACACGCCTGGTGGGACGGCTGCGACGACGACGCCCACCTTGGCGACTTTGACAGCATTAGGGCCGTCGACGACCGACTGAAGTCCTTTGAGGATTATCAGACACACGGCGGCGTCCCTGGCGACGGCTGGGAAGTTTGGCTCAACGCCACCTGCGGCATAGTGATCGTCGGTGCCGCAACTTCTCAGGGGAGCGACGCCGTGAAGACCGCGGCACTGCAGCCCGCCTACTGGACGTTTGCAAAAAAGACCCGCCAGGCGCGACTTTTGGTCGCGGGAGAAGTGATGCTCGCCGTTGGCCCCTGTGAGACCCTGCAGCAGGCGCTGGAGCAGAGGCGCGGCATGGAAACGATGGCGCGACACCTCGTCCCCAGCATCACGATGAAGGAGTTGCCGATTGATCCAAGGTGGCTGACGGCGTACGCGGAGGACGTTTTCCCGTTGTTTCTCGGCCCGCGCAAGAAGCCTGCTGCCCACGCTGCGGAGCACGCAGAAACGGCTGGGCCGCCGCGGGACACCGCCCCCACCACTTCGGCTGGCAGAAGCATCCTCCGCGGCTTGAGTGAGAAGAAGAAGGAGGAGAAGAAGGAGGAGCAGGAGGAGGAGCAGCGGGCAGCGGCAGCACCCAACAGCGGCCCGTCAACCACGTTGAGGCCGCCGCCCGGAAGGAAGGTGCGGCTGCTGCTGGACAACTGGGACGGGAGTGGCCGGTGCACTGGCCAGGTCTATGCGGCGATTGTGGCGGCGTTTCGTGGTCCGTACCGCGCCTCGCTATTCGTCACTGCCGAAAAAGGCCTCTTTGCGTTCCTATCACAGCGCTTCCCCTGTGTTGTATCCCCCCAATACTTCACGTCGTCCCCCGTGAAAAAGTTCGGCTTTGTCGCACACAATTTATTTGACTACGTCTTCGTTGTTGACCGTAGCGCTGAACCGTACAGTAACGGGGACCTACTCGCTGCAATGTGGCGAAGCCTCGCGGTGGGAACAGGACGGATGTACGCCTCCAGCGAGGACATCCGAAAGTGTCTACTGCTGTAGCCTCACCGCCGTTGACCGCTAGAATAACGAGTACATTAATAATGTTCGCGGTGTTTCTTCTTTAGTGCAGGGCCCGCGTTGCCGGACGCAAGCCGCGCATATACCTACACATCCACACACGCACGCACACGCACGCAAGCAGTTGCTTCTCCCTCGCCATTGTAGACGCCAAGGTGCTTCTTAGGTGAATTGGTTACTCCCGTTACATGAAGAATAAATTTCATGACAACGTGCGCGAGGCGCTAGGCGGTCCCAGCCGCCACGGTTTCCCTCACACCCTTCGGCTTCCAGCGGAGTGCAGTGGGGCTTGTCTCACCGACATCTGCCAGGCGCTTGATGACAGCTGGCAAACGTGGTCGTCTTCAACCTAACTTCTTGACGCCGTTG